TCACAACAAAACTATCAGAAGAAAATGAAGGAAAACATCTCTTCCTCTCCTGTAAATAAGTACCATCCAGGAAATAAACAAATCAATCCAAAATAACCAGCTCTACAGGAACAAGTAGGTACCCTGTGTTCTGGATTCATCTGGAGTACAGGAAACCATTCTCTCTAAAAACCCTCTTTAAACAGAAACCAAACAACAGCACTAAGCCGCCGGGAAACAGTTTGCTCACCCAGACATTCCAACTGCCCCTGTACTCCGAAGGTCTTCATTCGAGAAGCTTCCCAGAGAACCACAGTGGGTACTTGCTTTACTACTTAAATGACCCAACTGGTACTTTTCCTAAAACTAAGAGACTGTCTGTCCCAATGATGAATTCAAGTGAAAGAAAACTGCCTTAATCTCTCACCTAAGACCAACTTCCCTTCAGCAAGCCTTTTAAGCCCTCTGGGTCTTCTAGGTGTCCTGATAGTATTACATCAGCAGCCTAAATGTGACCTGATGAACTCCTTACCGGCTCTTCCCAGTATGAACCACTGTTCCTAGGCCCCCATCCATCAAGTCTCTGCCCCTCACTCTCAGCCCCCAAGAGAAGACAGAATTCCTCACACACAAAGCATCTCAACTTTGCATCCACATTCCCAGCAGGTGGCCCTGCCCTGTTAGTCAGCCACCCTTCTTTCTATCTGTTGTAGAGGAGGGGTCCCAGCTGCTGGTCCCAGCCAACACCTTCCCTGAGTTGTGGACCCTTTAGGACTGAGATGGGTCCATCTCAACTTCTCCTATGGGGCTGGTCCTCTACTTTTGGCCTGACTCCCCTCTGTTTAAGTAATAGCCCTGGGTCGTAATTAACCCCATCTCTCAAGGCTCCATTGTTTCTCCTTCCTTCTTTCCTTCTTTAGTCAAGCTTCGGAGAAGGAGGCATCTTTGTGCCATCTTTGGGCTCATAGGTCTCTGACCTCAGTCACTGCAATGTGGCCTCCACCAGTGGTCACTACCAATGACTAGCCTTAGTGTGTCCTTGGCTGGTTCCCTAAGATGGGTCAATCCCAAGGACTCTGTCTTCTAGGCCACTCCCCTCCCTGACCATGCTTTCCTGCTTCATGTTTTCCTCAGCCCAATCATGACAGAAAGGAGCTCCAATTCTAGCCTCACTCTCTACGGTCCCCACATAGACTTCCCAGCTCTCAGCTGTGCTTCCATCCTGAGGGCAGTTCTAGGGCTGGGTTCCAGCTAATGCCCTGATACTGACTGCCAACCTGGATATTCTCAGCTCTCCACCCAGTGTGGCACTGTACAGCAACCACTGGACTGCTAGCAGCAAGGCCAGGGTTCAAACCCACCAGCTGCTCCTCGGAACCCTATACAGGGTCGCTATGAGTCGGAACAGACTCGACAGCCTTTAACAACAGCACTCAGCCCACTGCACAACATTCTTGCTCCTGTGGTCCTTGGCTCCCCTGGGACCTCCCAGCATGCACGCTGCTCCCCAGCCTCAAACATGGAGCCATCTTAGACTGTTCCCTCTTAACCCCACGTCCTTCTTGGGCATTTACTAGCTTGGCTGAATTTGTCAGAATCTCTCTCCAGAGGGTGAGGGCATGAGTTCCGATCCTCATTCTTTAGCCCGGGAAGAGCTGCAGCTGCTGAACTGGGTCCCTGCCCCACTTTGGCCTCCCTGAGAAGCCAGTCTGCATGTTACTGCAAAGTGATTGAGCTGAGGAACTCAAAGTTCGGGAAGTAGACTGCTCTCCTGAGGGTGGGGAACAATGCTGAACAAGACTCAGTTCTGTCTGTGTGGACCTGGTGTTGCCCAGTAAAGAGGGGCACACTGTGACCCCAACAAACATAAGAAGGGACTTAGAGCTGAAAGCCAAGAAATGGGTTCCAGTCCCTGATCCCTCTGGCCGCCCTGAGCCCAGGCCTGCCAACCCAACTCCACTGAGACTATCACACTGGGAACCACACAGGGGGTTATTTTCCATTCGCTCTGCCTGCTTCAGAGTGGTCTTGCTTTCCACACCTCCATTCTCTGGTAGCATAGTGGTTACGAATCGGGCTGCGAGCCGCAAGGTCAGCAGTTCGAAACTACCAGCAGTTCCGCGGGAGAAAGATGAGGCGGTCTGCTCCCGTAAAGATTTACAGCCTCGGAAACCCTGTGCAGGGTCACTATGAGTCGGAACCGACTCCACGGCACACAACAACAACAACATTCTTCTAAAGATTCACTTAGCCAGGTTGAGACTCTCCACAACCCTTTTCAGAGTTGAATTTCTCCGAAAACATTTCATTCTCCCTGGATTGAGATTTCTATTTGCAAAGTACTCTACGATTCATGAGTGCAGACTTTTTGTGCTCTTTTATCAGCCTGGAAAACATTTACCTGCAAACCGCAAAACCCAATTAGAATCGTTCAGACACATAAGTGTTTATTTTTGTCACTTAAGAAGTCTGGAGGGGGGCTGTTGCTGGTGGTGGTCCAATGGCGTCCTCGGAAATTACATTCTTTCGTGTGTCCACCCTCTGCCTTTGGAATGTTGACTTTCATCACTTCACTTGCCAACTCATGGTCACAAGATTTCCACTTTACTTCCAGGGGTCACATGTACATTCTAGCCAGGGAGGAAGAGGAAGGCAAAGGACCGTTCCCTTTAGAGAATGACTTATCAGAAGCCCCTCTACTCTGCAATTTCCACTTAAACCGCCCCGGTGAGAATGGCTCCCAGAACCACCATGAGACTGGCCTGTGGAAAACATAGAGGTCTGCGGCTGGGGACTGGGTCAGCCAATCTGTTACTGTCTAAACCCTCAGTCACTGTGGGGCAATAGCCCATTGCTCCTGGACCTTTCACGGTACAGCTGTGGTAGCCCTGAGCATTTGCCTGTACACCTCCACCATCAGCTACCTAAGTGACTAAAGCCCCCCACTGACCTGTGGCTTCTGTTAGCCAAGAATTGAAAACAGCAGACAGGCTATCTCCTGGGAGGTACAGACTCCTGGGCAGCATTGGCTGGAGGACCGGCCCAAATGGCCGGTGGAACCCAGTTTTGTCTGCATGGCAAAGTAAAACATGTGGGCCCAATCCTCCCTCCCGTCTCTTTTCCTTTGGGTCAGACTTGCATCTCTGCCTGACAACTCTCCCAGGCTAACCCGGCTCCCTGCCCGTGCCAAGGCAAACCTCTATTCAGCCAGCACACCCGTGCCTCTGGGACCCATGGTGGGCCTCTACAGCTCTCATGGACCTCCACCATGAAAGCAGCATTGGGGGGAATTGGTGCCCTGTACAACTGAGACATGCCAGTGGCCCCAGACTTTCTGGACCCTAAGGTTCAGATGATCCTAGAAAGGTCTCAGATGTCTGGGATTCCTATATCCTACACCAGAGCACTTGGCAACAGCCCGGGGGGTAGGCAGGGCGCTGATGGCCAGCCCAGATCCACCCCACCTCCCTCAAGGTCTGCGTGCTCCCCCATACTTCCACGCACATCATATTAAGGAAGAAAGGCTCGGTACGACAGTTGATTACATTTTACAGATGGGATCACTGAGGCTAAGGAGGTGAGGTCATTTGCTTAGGTCCCAGATAGGCTTTGAAGTAGGTTTGAACCCAACCCATGAGTTTTCTCTTTGTTGAGCTTCCTCTGTGACATGCTGTAGACAAGGGGCAATCACAAGCCCTCACTATTGTCCTTTACCTCCCCTCAAGGTCCCAGCAGCCTGAATGGACAGTGTATAGTCTGAGTGGACACCATGCTTAAATGGACTGGGAAGTTGCAGTGGACTCTGTGACCCAAGTGGACCCTGTGGCCTGAGTGGACTCCGCCTTAGAAATGGGCTCTGAGGTGTGAGTGGACTCGGGTGGCCTCAGTGGACCCTGTGGTCTGAGTGGATTTTGTGGCCTCAGTAGACCCAGTGGCCTGAGTGGAATCGGTGACTTCAGTGGGCCCTGTGGTCTGAGTGGACTCCGAGGCCTGGGTGGACCCTGTGGCCTGAATGGATTCCATGGCCTGGGTGGACCCTGTGGTCTGAGTGGAATCAGTGATATCAGTGGACCCTGCAGTCTGAGTGGACACCATGCTTAAATGGATTGGGAAGTCTCAGTGGATTCCGTGGCCTGAGTGGACTCTGTGGTCTGAGTGGACTCCACGTGCCTGAGCTCAGGCTTGCTCTCAGGAGTGTTGGTCAAGCCCTGGCATTATCGGAGATGGTATCGCAAGGCCTGCTCTCAGGGAACGTCCGTCCTTCACCCACAAGGCAGGGCTTCCAGAGTGGCCAGCTCTAGAGAGATGTAGGCAGGAGGGGAGGTGAGAAGTCTGGAGAGCAGACAGGCAGGTCCTGCAGGGGCTTAGTGGAGTCTGCGATGCTCTCTCACGACAGTCTGCCAGACCCGGCTCAATCACGCCCTCCGGGGCCAGGCGGTCGGGACGGCAGTGGGCGCAGGTGCTGTTCTCGTGGCTGCCCGCTCGCCTGCAGTCCCCCAACTTTCGTCCCCAGGGGGCCGGCCACGCGGCCCCAGATCAGGGCGCTGGTATGCTGCTGAAGGGAGAGGTGCAAGGTCTCCAGCCTTCCGGTGCAGGGAGACCGGGCATCGGCTCCAGAGCGCAGGCCAGCGGCAGGGCCCGGTGTTCCGGGGCGACTCGACCACCAGGGTCCGGAGACTGGGAGGAGAGGCGCCCCCGCCCCACCGCCTCTAGGCCCCTGGGCACTCTCCACCAGGAAAACGCCCGGTCTGCATACAGCCTCCGGGGGCGCGCTGGGGCGCCTCACAAGGGTCAGCGGGAGGCGGGGCTCGCAAGACGCCACGCCCCACAGGCCCCGCCCCTCCCCGCCCCTCCCCGCCCACGTCACACCACAGCTCCTCGCGCGCCTGCGCGGCCTGCCGCCGGCCCCTCTCCCGCCGCGGGCGCATCCTCGGTCCTCGCCACCCGAGTCCCTGTGCGCTCGCCGCCTGCCCACCAGTCCGCCAGCCTCGGCCCGCTCCGACTTCCTCGCGGCGGCGGCCATGCGGCTGCGGAGACGCGGCCCAGAGGCCGCTCCCGCTTCCTCCAGCGCGGGGGCCGGCGATGCGCGGTGGCTGGCGCCCCCGGGGCGGAACCCATTCGTGCACGAGCTGCGCTTCAGCGCCCTGCAAAAGGCCCAGGTGGGTGCCTCGCTGTTCGGGGACCGCCCGGCGGCCACGGGGGAAGAGCGGGGCCGAGGCAGGGCGGCGAACCCCGCGGCCCAACCTGGGCTAGCTTCCTCGGTTCCCTCCGCGGCCGCCCACCTCTTGGGCCCGGGCCCCTAGCCCCCCGCCCCGCCCGCTTCTCGACTTCCCGCCGCCTTCATCCTCGTCCCCGGGTCCCCACATCCCGAGCCCTACTCTGCACCCGCCCTCCGCCGCCACAGCCCGAATCTCTGCCATTCTCATCCTGGGTCCCCCTTGCTCTCATCCGGGTCCCCGTGCCCCCGACTCCCTGCTATCCTCACCCAGAGCTCGGCCCCGCACCACGAGTCCCCGCCATCCGCACCCGGGGTCCGACATCCGCTCTGGCCGAACAGGCCTCGTGCGCTCCCAAGGGCCCGAGCCGGGCTTCCCCTTCGCTGCGGGCCAGCGCTCACCAGGGGAGGCTGGCATGGGGGTCCACTGGGGTCCTCTGAGTCGGTGCCGGAGACTGCAGGCCGCGGTGGTCATGGGGCCCCTGAGCGACACGAGTGGCCAGCGTTCCCACCGTGGCGTTCCGCGCCTTATCCCTGCTCCGAGGGCAGCGCCCCTGGGGATTGGCCTGTGGCCAGATTCTTTCCTGCGCTCCGGTTTCCAAACGTGCGGTTTGCTTGGATGTTTTATTTGTGAGTGGTTCTGAGAACAGCGGGCCTTGTCCGAGAAATGTGCCTTGTGTTCAGGAAGCAGATCGCCTGCCCAGGGTAACTTCGTTTCCATGCGTGTCCCGCCGGTGGAATCTATTTTTCCAGTGTGATGACTTTCAGAACTGCCACTCAGGTGGGACCTAGTTGATGGTTGTGGTTGCAATTCCTGAGCCTTTGCTCACAAAGGGTCTTCCTTTTGACTCCAAAATAATCCTTAGGAGCAAGTCCCCTTTTGGACCTATCCCAGTCGATGACCAATAATATGGTTATGCATGTATTTCCAACTGTATGAATACTTGGGGGTGGAGGTTGTAAAATAATTTACCTAAAAGAATCGAGTGGAGTTTGTGGGTCTCTTGGAACACCGGGTTTCCCTAAGGCCCTTCTTGGTGGTGGTCCCATCATCTATGGGAAAGGAAGTGACAAGAAGGAAGCGAATGCCATTTCTCCTAGTGATCTCTGGCCACAGAATGGCCAGCTTTTCTTGGTCCGAATGGGTCTTTCCCAAGATACCGCCCACCTCTACTCATGGACAGTGGTGTCACCTACTAGGTTCTGTACTTAGAGCCCTAGGGGTTAGAGCAGCAGTTACTTGGCTCCCAGCTGAGTCTGCCCTCTCTTCTCCATTCCTACCCAGATAGGGCAGCCACCAGCTCCTCCCTTTCCTGTGCCCCAGTGGGGTCTCTCCTTCTCTCTGTGCTACTGCTTAGAACCTCCCCTCCAAGGTAGGTACCCTGGGATCCAGATCCCCCCCCCCCCACACACACACACAGGTACCCTGCCCCACCCCTTCTTGTGGTTGAGGCCCTCTCTGGTAGCGGAGTGGTTATGAATTGGGCTGCGAACCTCACGGTCAGCAGTTCGAAACTACCAGCTGTTCCGCAGGAGAAAGATGAGGCTTTCTGCTCCCGTAAAGATTTACAACCTTGGAAACTGTACAGGGTCGCCATGAGTTGGAACCGACTCCACGGCACATAACTACAACTTGTCCTTTTACTGAGTTACAGAGCCTCTAGCTCTGATTGCCCAGGTCTCTGGGTGCTCATCACTTCTTCCCTCATCCTTCACCATATGTGCCCCCTCCTGGAAGAAGCGCCCCCTCCATGGAAGTCTGGGTAGCATGGTAGTGTGGATATGTGGGAGCCAGGGCAGGCATGTCCACACGAAACTTAGCTCAGTTGTGGTGAATGAGCTCACTAACCTAGGAACTGGCTCCCAGAGCAGTGCCAGAAACCCTCAACCCAGGTCTGTCCCCGCCAAAGCTTGGGATGGGAGCTCTTCATGTCAGGGAGTCCAGCTCTAAGGCCACTTACCTAGTTTTAGATGCCCCTGTCCCCCAGAGATGGACCACTGACTTGATGGCACAGTGGGTTGAGTATTAGGTTGCAAACCAAAAAGTTAGTGGTTTGAACCCTCCGGTTGCTTTATGGGAGAAAGGTGATGTCTACTTCCGTAAAGGTTTTGTTTGTTTTTTTCTTAAATGTTTTATTGTGAATTATGTGATAGTTTACATGGTTCCGTAAAGGTTTAAAGCCTCAGAAAACATGTGTTGTTGTTAAGTGCCAGCAAGTTGGTTCCAACTCACAGCAACCCTATATAGAGTTCCCAAGATTTTTGGGGCAGTTCTTTTCTGCCCTAAGATCATAGGAGTCAGAATTGAGTTGAGAACAATGGACTTCCTGAGTGGTGCTAACAGTTACCCTCTGAAACTGAATAGTTGATGGTTCAAACCTACCCAGAGATCCTTCAAAAGTAAGGCCCAGAGATCTTTTCCCAAAAGGCCATAGCTATGAAACCCACCTGAGCAGTTAGCTCCACTCTGCAGAGATCACCAGGAGTCAGAACCAGCTCCGGGACAATTAATGGGGGTGGGTTTTCCCTCATACTGGGGGGCTTCAAAATGTGGGCAGAAAAAAATGGACTAAAAGATAAAGGCATTCCCCTGCCTTTTTGTTTTTAATGTTTTATTGTGAATTGTGTGATATTGTTTACATGGGTCCCCTGACTTTTGGAAGCCCCCTGGTATTACTGACATTCTGAGGAAGAACAGGTATGCTGAACTTGGTGTTGTTTTGTGCTGAACTTGGAGGGAGCTCATACGTATACACTTTGTCATAATGTTCCCGGTGTAACCCTAAGAAGACTCGTCACAAAAGGGGCTCTGGTAGCGTAGTGGTTAGGAGTCGGTCGGGCTGCTAACCACAAGGTCAGCAGCTGGAAACTACTCACTGTCCTGCTGGAGAAAGATGAGGCTTTCTGCTCCCATAAAGATGTATAAGGAGCTCTGGTACTGTAGTGGTTACGAATCGGGCTGCTAACTGCAGGGTCAGCAGTTTGAAACTACCAGCTGTTGTTCTGCTGGAGAAAGATAAGGCTTTCTGCTCCCGTAAAGATTTACAACCTCGGAAACCCTATGCAAGGTCGCTATGAGTCGAAACTGACTCCACGGCACATAACAACAACAACAACAAAGATATACAGCCTCGGAAATGCTGTGCAGCGTCTCCTGAGTTAGAACCGACACCACAGCACATAACCACCACCACCAATCACTTGTCACAAGGTAGTTACATACGGCTCAGCTGGTCCCCATCTGAGACACTCCTTCTAATCTAACTTCAGCACTGCAAAAACATTTTGCTTTTTGTAAAACCCCAAAAACCCACTGTCACTGAGTCAATTCCAACTTGCAGTGACCCTGTAACAACAATGGAAATCTTTACAGAAGCCAAAGGCTCAACTTTGTCCTGTGGAGAGGCTGGTGGGTTTGAACTGCCGACCTTGGGGTTAGCAGCCTAGTGCTTGTCCTATGGCACCATAGTGCACTACAAACCTTTTACCTTTATATTCTGTATCACCCTAGTTTCCAAGAGTGAAATAGCTTGTCTTTCATGTAAAGGAAACCTGAGCCCCAAATACATTAACGAATCCAATGATGTCCCAGAAATTCAACCGAGATACCAAGCTATGTTGTTGTTAAGTGTTATGAGTTGGAATCGACTCATAGGCACTTAACAACAACCTTTTGGTTAGCAGCCCAGTGTTTATCCTATAGCACTACACCAGGACGCCTAAATACCAAACCATAATGTGGTGCTGTAGGATAAGCACTGGTCTGCTAACAGCAAGGTCGGCAGTTCAAGCCCACCAGCTGCTTCAAGGGAAAAGATGAGACTGACTGTTCCCGTAAAGGATTCGTTTCCGAAACCCTAAGGAGCAGTTCTCCTCTGTCCTGTATGGTTGCTGTATGTATATCAGAATTCAGTCCATGGCAGTGGGTCTCCTGAGCTGGGGAGGTACCTTTGTCCACCTGGTAGAGTTTGCACCAGTGATGAATGGCTGGCCGGTATCTACTGATTAGCACAGTGCCTCCTCCCTCCTCCACCCAGCCCATCTGTTATTTAAATTGCAGACTCAGTAAGAAGCTTAGGAATGTCTGTGGACAGAAATCAACACACTAAGGTCTGAAATCCTTCAAACCAAACCCACTGATGTGGAGTCGATTTCTACTCATAGTAATCCGATATAGTGTGCCTATCCCATAGTGCCACCAGAATTCTTTAAGGTCTGAAAAGAGCTATCAAACCCATTGGGGTGGGGGAGGCTTTAAAACGAGGTATTTATCCCCTCACTAAAAGAGCCCTAGTGGCACTTTGGGGTAAGCAATGGGCTGCTAACTACAAGGTCAGTAGTTCAAGACTACGAGCCGCAGGAGAAAGATACTGCTGTCTGCTCCCATAAAGATTTATAGTCGCAGAAAGCCTGTGTTGTTACGTGCTATCAGGTCAGTTCCCACTCCTAGTGACCCTCTATAGGGCTTCCAAGGAGCACTGGTGGATTTGAACCATTGACCTGGTGGTTACAGTTCCGCCACACCGGCCTTGACTTGATGGGTTGGTTTTTGGTTTGACTAAAAAGGAGCCCTTTTGGTGTGCTGTGTTAACTGTTAGGCTGCTGACTGAAAAGTCAGCAGTTGGAGCCCACCAGCTGCTCCCTGGGAGAAAGATGAGGTGGTTTACTTCTGTAGTAAAGATGTGCAGCCTTGGAAACTCTTAGGAGCAGTTCAGCTCTGCCCTGCAGGTTCTCTGTGAGCAGGGATCCCTGGGTGGTGAGGGGTGGGGTTTGCACAGTTGAGACCTGAACCTAAGCCGGTGCAGTATTGGATATTGACGCTTTCCAGTACAGATTTCTTTAGCCTCGTGTTAACGTGTTGCTTTTGTAGGCAGGAAGTGAGCATGTATTGCTGAGGCTTTAAAAACGTACTTTGCTCTGTAAACCTTCTATAAGCTCTTCTAT